CAGAGAAGTTCTCCAATGGTTTCACAATCATGGAAACCACTGGTCTTATGTTCCCCAACATCCTAAAGCAGCTGACGCGATAAGAAGACGAAACTGCCTTTTGAAGACACAGTTACAGTGCCAATTAGGTGGCAACAGCCTAGAGAGCTGCAGCAGGGTTCTGCAGAAGGCAGGCTATGCTTTGAATCAGTGTCCAACATATGGTATAATTTCTCAGATAGCCAGGATTCACAGGCTCGAGAATTAAGGGGTGGAAAAGGAAATAGTTCCACTCACTACCACTGTTAGTGACCCATTAAGAAAAACTTTGCTTCCTGTTTCTGAGACCTTAAGATCTGCTGGCCTAGAAATTTTGGTTCCAGATGGGGAAACACTCCAGCCAAAAGAAAAAACAAATATTCCTTTGATCTGGAAGCTCAGACTTCCCCCCTGGCCACTTAAGCGATCAGGCTAAGAAACAAATAACAGTGGTAGGTACAGTGATTGATGGAGATTACCAAGGGGAAATTGGATTGCTTCTTCATAATGGAAGTAAGAGAGATTATGTGTGGAGTGCAGGAGATCCTTGGTGCTAGCATGTTCTGTGACTAAAGCCAATGGGAAACTACAACAGCCTAATACAGGCAGGATGACAAAAGGCTTAGACTCCTTAGAAATGAAGGTATAGGTAGGTCACTCCTCTAAGAACAGAACCAAGACCTACTGAGGTACTTGCTCCAGGTAGAGGAAATATAGAATGGGTAGTAAAAGACAGTAGTTATAAATTATTAGCCAAAAAACCAAAACAAAACAAAAAGCTGGGCGGCGGTGGCGCACGCCTTTAATCCCAGCACTTGGGAGGCAGAGGCAGGCGGATTTCTGAGTTCGAGGCCAGCCTGGTCTACAGAGTGAGTTCCAGGACAGCCAGGGCTACACAGAGAACCCCTGTTCCAAAAAACCAAAAAAAAAAAAAAAAAAAAAAAAAGAAAACAACTAGTGATCTCAACTACTGAGCCATTTCTCCAGCTCCAGAAAATATTATATAATGAACTTTGTTATTATTTGAAGAATGTATATAAGCCAATCAATCAACATTTTCCAGATGACTAATGGAATGCTTCATATTATAACATCAGGCTGAGTAAAACATTCATCAAAACACAACCCAGGCCCTGCTTAATGGCACATGTCTTTAATCCCAGCACTCAGGAGGCACAGGCAGTTGGATTTCTGTGGGTTCTATGCTAGCCTCATCTACATCATGAGTTTCAGGATAGCCAGGGCTACACAATGAGACCCTGTCTAAACAAAACAAAACAAAACAAAACAAAACAAAAATCCCCCAAACCCAGAAACTCAAAAGTTAGAGATGGTATTGCAACCCAGCACTCAGGAGGCTGAAGCACGAGGATGCTTGGGCTATACAAACAGAGCACCTCAAACAACAAAAGAAAATAGACCAATGAATCTTAATGTGGTCGAGTTAAAAACTGTAGTCACAATTTCAGAGCTTCAATGCAACTAACCTTAAACTACCACGTAAAAACCCCAAACTCCTATTTGTCCAAGTTTTGCTTCTGTTTTATGGGACTAGAGATTGAACCCAGTACATTTTAGCTAAGAGCTTTACTACTGAGCTATACCTTCAGCCCAGGCAAGATTTGTATAGTATCAACAGAATATCTCTAGTGACCTGAGAGAGCTATTAATATATTCCTTCCTTTCCCCAGTACAGAGCTACATGAACTGGACTTTCTCTCATATCATCCCCAAACCAAAATACTCTCAAGACTGAATGTCCAAGCAGATACAATATTCTAGTGCTGTTTATTTTTTGAAGATTTTAAGAGTTTGCATGAGTGAAGGTGCACATACATGAGGCCACATCTGCCTGTACATATGCAAAGGCCAGACAGGAGTGTCAGATCCCTCAGAGCTGGAGTTAAGGGCACTCATGCAAATCCCAGCTCACTTTGTGAGTACTAGAATCTGAACTCTGCTTCTCATAACTGTGCATCAAGCCTTTTAACCACTGAGCCATCTCTCCAGCCTCCAATACTCTAGGGCTCTTCTATTAAGCTGGGCATTAATGAGATTTGTAGAAATGTAAGTGTATGAATTTCTGTATATCGCATTGTGTGTACATGTCATAGGAGGTCACAAAGTGTTGCATACCAAGGATCTGGAGTTACAGGTGAATTGTGAGCCACCTGATATAGGATCTGGGAACTGAAGCCCAATCCTCTGCAAGAGCAGTAAGTACTCTTTTTTTTTGTTTGTTTTGTTTTGTTTTTTTCTTTTCTTTCTTTCTTTTTTTTTTTTTTTGGTTTGTTTTTTCGAGACAGGGTTTCTCTGTGTAGCCCTGGCTGTCCTGGGACTCACTCTGTAGACCAGGCTGGCCTCAAACTCAGAAATCCACCTGCCTCTGCCTCCCAAGTGCTGGGATAAAAGGTGTGCGTCACCACAGCCAGCAAGCAGTAAGTACTCTTAACAACTGAGCCTTCACTCCAACCCCTTGGCACTTCTTTATACATTCTGCATTTTAAAAACCTCAATGATACATGATTTGTAAATACTTTTTCCAACTACTGTTAAAATGACCTTTGACAATTTTAAAAAATTAAGTAGCCAAAAGAGGTGGCAGAGACCTTTAATCCCAGCACTGGGGAGGCAGAGGCAGGAGAATCTCTGTCTATTCAAAGCTGGTCTAGTCTATATAGAGAGTTCCAGGCCAACCAGGGCTGCACAGTGACACTCTGTCTCAAAAATCTCTTTAAATAATTAAAAAATAAATTCCAATTTATTATTTCTTTTGTTGTTTGTTTCTTTGGTGTCTTACTTAATAAATCAATGCCAAATCCAAAAGAAAATTTGCTTTACAGTATTTACTTATACATTTATTTATAGTATTGACTTATTGTTTGTTGGCTTGCTTGCTTGTTTTGAGACAGAATCCCATGTAGCCCAGGCTGGCTTTGAGCACCTGATTCTCCTCCATCTCCTCAGTGCTATGATTACAGGCATGTGCCTGGGTTTTTTGTTTTTTTAAATTAGGTTTCTAGAATTTTACCTGACACATTATACCTGCTCAGCAGCTCCAAGCTATCATGTCAGGCATCTCACAAGTGACTCTGACTCAAGTTCCAAGGAATCCTTTGGGGATTCACATGTACATACAAAATGCCACCCACAGATAGATAACTTAATCTAATAAAACTTTTAAAAAGCCGAGTGTGGCCAGGCGGTGGTGGCTCACGTCTTTAATCCCAGCACTTGGGAGGCAGAGGCAGGCGGATTTCTGAGTTCGAGAGTTTGAGGCTAGCCTGGTCTACAGAGTAAGTTCCAGGACAGCCAGGGCTACATAGAGAAACCCTGTCTCAAAAAACTAAAAAAAAAACAAAAAAACAAAAAAAAAAACAAAAAAAACAGTGTGGTGGCACATGGATTCCAGCATGCAGGGGCTAAAATAAGACCATAAGTTGGAGTTCATGGCTACACAGCAAGACCCATCTCAAAACAAAGCCATAAGCTAAAAAATAAAGTTTTAATTTCTTTTCTTTTTTTTTTTTTTTTTTTTGTTTTTTGAGACAAGGTTTCTCTGTGTAGTCCTGGCTGTCCTGAAACTCACTCTGTAGACCAGGCTGGCCTCGAACTCAGAAATCCGCCTGCCTCTGCCTCCCAAGTGCTGGGATTAAAGGCGTGAGCCACCACCGCCCGGCAATGATTTATAATTCTCAAGATACAATTTAATGTACTTTGATGCTTTTAACATTATTTTAAAGGGAATTGTTTGTTTTTTTAAATTTCTGTTATTATTTAATAATTTCTGTGTATATGTGAGTGTATGTGAGTATGTGTGTGTATGTGTGTGCATATTTGCATGGGTATGTGTTCTTTAAGGCTTTCTATAAGCAATATTATATCATCTTCAAATCAAGATAGTTTTGCTTCTTTTCAGTTTGTATACTTTACTTTCTTGTCTAAGCACTCTGGCTTGAGCTCCAGTGTTAGGCTGAGTACACGAGCTGAAAGGAGGCATTCTGTTTTGTTTTTCTTGTTAATTAATAATTACATTTATTTGTTTATGAAACAGGGTTTCACTATGTAGCCTTGGCCAGCTAGAACTGGTTCCACGGACCATGCTGGCTTTGATCTCATAGAGATCCACCAATCTCTGAAATTCTTATTTTTTAATCATGTATATATGTGTGTCTGTGTGTGTATATGGATATGTGGGGGTATGGTTGTGTGGGTGTGTGGATGTGTGAGTGTATGGATGGATATGTGTGGGTATATGGATATGTGTTTGTGTATAGGTATATGGATATGTGTATGTATGGATTGTGTGGGTGTGTGGATGTGTGGGTATATAGATGTGTGTGGGTTCCCTCAGAGTTACAAGGTGTCATACCCTCTGGAGCTATAAGCAATTGTAAGCCACCTGATTTGGGTTCTGAGAATCTTACCTCTTTTGGGTCCTTTGGGAGAGTAATACACACTCTTAACTGCTGAGCCATCTCTCCAGTCCCTGTTTTATTTCATTCATAGATAGATAGATACATAGATACATAGATAGATAGCACCTGTATATATGTCTGTGTACTACATGCATGTGGAGGCTAGGCTAGACAGCCATCAGAACCACTAGAAGTAAAGCTACAGGAGAAATCACTACATAGGTTCAGGGAACAGAACTAGAATCTAGAAGAGACATCAGTGTTCTTAACTGACAAATAATTTCTTCAGCCTTATTTACAATTTTATGTATGTATGCATGTATGTATGTATGTATGTATGTATGTATGTTTTGAGATGAGGCCAAGCAGAAATAATTCTGAGAAATATCTCCTCAAAGGTATATTGTCCCTAATTTATGAAATTATATCAACAACAAATATAATGAATTCTGTACCTAGGAAAAAGCAGTCACTTCTCTGGACTGAGGGAGGCAGAGAGAGGATGACCTGGGGGAATGCCCATGCATGTGCTTGCATGAGCTACATTCCTACTTTTCAAATTACCTGATACTGTTGCCATATCTGATTTTGAACTTATACACATTGGGTCCTGCATGAAGGAATCTTGTCTCTGGAAATGGGTAGGTGAACGGTTTTAAGCTCATTGCTTTTGATGGTAACCTAAAAAAAAAAGTAAAAATATTAATCAGTAGTGTAGAGTGAAAAATTATAGATACTGGGTATATAGAATCCTTTTTAGACATATAAAATATTCTTTAGGCTTTCTTTATAAGGACATGGAAAATTTTCTGAGAAACAGAGCCATGAAGCAAGTTAAGAATGTGGACAGGCTAGTTACAGGAACTGGCTAGAATGCAAGTTACCCAGGTGGAACCAAGCTGGGAACCAAGCTGGAAACCACAGTGACAGGGAAAGGCCGAAGTAACAGGGCAGGACCACATTCTTGAGAAAGATAAGCATACAGAGAGTTTTCACCCGATCCTGACTCATGTAGGTTGGGTTCCTTTGGAATGTTTTGCTATTTTTATGTTATGCCACCTTAACAACCCCTCACCCCCCCTCCCCATTCCTTGGTTTGTGGTTTTTCCCTTTAAAAACCCCTCTCAAACTGGCTGTCGGTGTCAATTCAGCTCCTGCGTGGGTATACAAATTGACCGGCAGCTAGCTGTCACATGCCCGAATAAACCTCGCTTTTGCTCCGGTACACGGTGTCTCGAGCAGATTACTGGGTGGTCTCAACTTTCTGAGACTTGAGTGAGGGTCTCCCTTCTGCGGAGGTCTTCAGTAGTTGCTAGGAACTGAACTCAGGACCTCTGGAAAAATAGTCACCACCACCCGGCACAAAACAGAATCTTGATTTGAATCTCAGCCCTAATGTCCCTACTCGATTTTTGAACATTAGTCCCTCTTCTCTCCATCTTTTCCTCTTTAATAAGAAACATTTCAGCCGGGCGGTGGTGGCGCACTTGGGAGGCACTTGGGAGGCACTTGGGAGGCAGAGGCAGGCGAATTTCTGAGTTCGAGGCCAGCCTGGTCTACAGAGTGAGTTCCAGGACAGCCAGGACTACACAGAGAAACCCTGTCTCGGAAAAACAAAACAAAACAAAACAAAAAAAGAAAGAAACATTTCAGACAAGTTCTTACTTTGTAACCCAGGCTGGGCTGCCTTCAAACTCATGGCAATCCTCCAGGCTTCTTACAGAGTAACATGGTTGTTTTTGCTTTGTGAACACCGGGTCCTAAGTGTTCAAAACCTTGACCTTGAACACACTATGTAGGTTAGGATGACCTTGGACAGACCCTAGGTCCTTAAAGTCTCAAGGGCTGAGACAATAGGTTTTGTTGTTGTTGTTGTATTTTGTTTTCTTTTAAAGGTATGGTCTTGGTAAGTTACCCAATTTGGCCCAGAGTCACTGAGCTCAGGTGATCTTCCTGCCTCAGCCTTCACAATAGCTGGTGTTGAGGTTTGGTCAGTTGCTGTGTATTGTAATGTTAAATTATATATCCCAAAGTCTAGTTGCCTCGAGACAGTGAATTCTCCCTTATACTAGCTTTTGTTGTGCAAACCTAGCTCCTTAATTTAAAACTATTGGTTGAATAAAGAGGCCTACACCCAGTAGCTGGGGAGAAGAGAAGTAGGTAGGGCTTCAGTTCCTAGGCTTGGAGTCTAAGACCACAAGAAGAAGGAGGAAGAAGTAAGAAGGTACCCTGGGTTAGGTGGTTCCTGAGGGTATGAACTTGAGAGCTAGCCTATTACAAGATGAGTGATGTCCAGGGTTACTGACAGGGAAGTAGACAAAATAGCATAGAGGGTTGATATCTGCTCAGCTTTAGTGCTTTAAGGCTTATTACAAATATAAAGGTTTTGTGTTTTTTATTTGGGAACTAAACAACCTAAGGTGAGGTAGAAAACCCCAAATAATATTTACTGAAACAAGCTGGGGCTACAGGGTGCGACTAGCTAACAACCACTTTTGCTACACCCTATTCTGAGTTCTGAATATGTATCGTCACAGCTTCTGCAATGAGCAGCATTAACTTGACAGACTAAGAAACTGAAGCACTGTTGAAGGAGTGGAGTGTACATCCATCAACTACTTTGTTAGCCTAACTTCTTCGAGTGATAGAGAGGAAGAAACCAAAATTATAAGCATAAAATCACACTACAGGGTCCATATGGATATGCTGCGTATGCGTCCCAGCAAAGCCTGGCGTTCATTAATGTGGGTGATGTGCCCAGACTTGCCTCTTACTCACAACAGTCTTCCTGCCTCAGTCTCCCAGACTTCTGGGCTTACATGTGTGCACTGTAATTCTGTACTAATTTCATTATTTTTTCCTCTATATTATCTTACACACTTTCTGTTCAGCAGAGAAAAATCTTGTGTGGCAGCATTATAAAAGCTACATGCCAAAGAAATGAATTTCTTGAAACTTCCAGAGTCCAAGTCTGGGCTGTAAGTAAGGAGATACTCCAGTGTCTGATCTTGGCTGTTTGGAAGCAGGGAATATTTAGACTAGAATTTCAGTCAAAAATGAAAATAACTTTTGCTAACTGCAAAGCTACCAGAGGGGAAATGCTGCTCACATCCTGAGGAAAAAAAAATGGTAATTTTCCCTTGCTCAGGGTATGGCAGGAGTCCAAGGTGAAGTGGATCAGGGTTAATTCCAGATGATTTTTCTAAGTAGGCAGAGAGCCCACCTGGTGAGGCTTAAGTTTGCCTCAGAAACTCAAGTTATTCAGAGCTCTGCAGATCCAGTCATCTCCCCACCATAGCCTAAGGCCTGGGGAACACCTAAGAAAAATGAAATGAAGGACATTTGCTAAAAATGAAAGTCCAAAAGAGTAAATTTCACATGCTGCACCATGGCTGGCCGGCTGAGACAAGGAAAAACAACTCTCTTCTAGCTGAGGCCTGCTCCTATTAATTGCTGGCTGCCTGCTTCAGATACAAACACCTCACAGTAATTACTTCATTTGAAGATAAAGATTAAGCTGGGCAGTGGTGGCGCACGCCTTTAATCCCAGCACTTGGGAGGCAGAGGCAGGCGGATTTCTGAGTTCGAGGCCAGCCTGGTCTACAGAGTGAATTCCAGGACAGCCAGGGCTACACAGAGAAACCCTGTCTCGAAAAAAACAAACAACAAAAAAAAGATAAAGATTAGACAGCATAGTCCAAAACAACCACATGGCAGTAGTAGCTCAAGAATTTTATAGGGTGATTTTCCAGCTTTGGCTACTGTAGTGATAATTCTAGAATTTTGCTTTCTAACAAAAAAACAAAAAAAAAAACCCAGAAATATTATAAGGATGTGCTTTTGTTTTAACCTCAGGTGTGAGTCAGACTGACCAAAGCAACTATGAGTTGCCTGGTGTTCCTTCAGAGGTGTGGTTTTGTCAGCTCCAGATAGTTTTTGCAGTTGTGTGAAGTTGGAATTCTGGGAACTTTTCAGAGAAAAAATAAATGCTCGAGCCTCCACAGACAGGGTTGGTGGTTAGTGGTCATTCAGGAGGGTTGGTTGTAGTCATGTTCAAAGAAGAAACAAAAGGAAGGAAATTAGATTCATAGATCTCTCTCCCCTCTATCCTTCTTTCTCTTCTATTTGGTGATAGGGGGTAAAATGGGGGGTTTGGGGGGATAAAGAGTGGGAAAAAGAAGAAACCACAAGCAGCCAAGACCAGCTACAGACTACTGTAGTCGTGGTGACATTAGGTGCCAGTAACTATTAAGTTGATGAGACCTTATAGAATAAAGGTCAGACTCTAAAAATCTGGAAGAAAACAAATCCAGAAAAGTTACAGACAGCCGGGCCACAGACATAGAGTCTAGGAGACCACACCCTGAGTTGTTACTCTCTTTTCCTTTTTTTAAAGAAGATTTTTTTTATTTATATGAGCACACTGTAGCTGTCTTAAGACACACACTAGAAGAGGGCATCGAATCACATGACAGATGGTTGTGAGCCACCATGTGGTTGCTGGGAATTGAACTCAAGACCTCTGGCAGAACAGTCAGTGCTCTTAACCACTGAACCATCTCTCTAGCTCCTATTCTCTTTTCCTAAACGGGGGTCTCACTATGTAGCCCAGGCTGGCCTGGAATTCAAAATTCTCCTGCCTTAGCCTCACACATGCTAGGACTAAAACATGTGCTAAAACACCAGGTCTGAGTTCTGCTTCATATAAATCGCTAGTCCTGAAAGGTAATTTAGCTTTTTCATTTCTTAGCATCTATAGAGAATACTCCTGAAATTGCAGGATTAAATGAGATAATGTTATAAACAGCCACCTCATAAACCCCAAAATACTGTATAAGCATTAGCAATTAAGGATGACCTTTTTTGTGCATGTGTGTATGGTGCACTCATGTGAGCGTGCAGGTGGGTCTCCTGGGTGTGCAATGTGGAAGCCAAAGCAAGACACTGGGAGTTTCCTTCTATCAATTTCTGCCTTTTAGCCTCTAGATGAAGTTTCTCACTGAACCAGAAGCTTCCTGTTTTGGCTAGGCTGGCTAACCACTGAACTCCAGGGATCCTTCTGTCCCTGCTCCTATACCCTCAATGCTAGGGTTATGGGCAAGTGCAGCCATGCCTGGCTCTTTTATACAGATCCTGAGGATTTGAACTCATATCCTCATGATTGCTGAGCAAACAGTCTTATCCACTGAGCCACTCCCTCCAACCCTTACGATTGAAAAGTTTTCCTCTTAATGCTCTGCAAGAAAAGCAAATTTAAGAGAGCAAAACTGTTCCCCTTTAACACAGACACACCATCTGACATGAGCCTCCCTTGATCTTCCCAAGCATTAGATTTAAAAGACATTTAAGAAAGATTTTTAAAGGTTTGAGTAATTTGTTTCACATAAAGAAACATCTGGGTTAGTACACAGATGTGTCCTATGGGGACCGAATGCTAACGAGCATGAAAATGAGCTGCCATGGACGGTGACAGTAGGGAAGCAGTCACTAGTCACTACACATGTCTACCACACTGGAGAATAAAAAGTGTCAACATTTATTCAAAATACACAGATACAGCCGGGCAGTGGTGGCGCACGCCTTTAATCCCAGCATTTGGGAGGCAGAGGCAGGTCAGCCTGGTCTACATAGTGAGTTCCAGGACAGCCAGGGCTACACAGAGAAACCCTGTCTCGAAAAAC